GAGGGACACATTTACTAACTCACAGTCAAAATTCTGACTCAGAACTGTTCCTGTTGGAAAATTTTTATTTGCTGGGCCAGACTTACACTCTTCTCAAGAGTAGAATTGAAGTGGCCAGACCAGATACAAAAAGGCATTCTATGGCAAAGGAACAAATGATTTAAAAGACAGAATTTTGCAGCTATTTTTTTGATCATGAGAAAGGTACATGTTATGGGTTTATGGTCAGATGGGCAACATACCATGAAACATTTTATGGTCAGTCAATTCTCCGATCAAGAAAAATAATATACAATGTAATTGTCACAAGATCATTGAGGAAAAACAAAATAAGTTGACCTCTAGCTAAGTACAGGATCAAAATCTAACATTGTTTAACTAAAAAGAAAAATGGAGTCAGCTATCTCTTGATACATTAACAGGTAAGTGGGCAATGGAGATGTGGTGCATGTATATATATACCTTTATTAAAGTAAAATAAAATTTGCAAGAATATAAACATATTTGGAATGCATTATATTAGACTATCACATAATGTCAAATCAATTGTATGTTGAGAAACAACAGCACTGAGATCTGAGATACTATGTGAGTATTCCCTGTTTGCACTTTAGGCAATGAGTAAATGAAGGTTTAATTTTGGAAGAGCTAGATAGAGCTGTTAAAGTATATGGGGTGATGGGGCCTGGAGAGATGGCTAACAGGTTAGGAGTACTCTTCCAGAGGCCCTGACTTAAATTCCAAGCAACCACATGGTGGCTTACAACCATTTGTAACAGGATCTGATGCCCTCTTCTGGTATGTCTGAAGACACTGACAATGTACTCACATATAAAAAATAAATAAATCTTTTATTAAAAAGTATTTATGGTGAGAAATGATTGTTAAACTACATAGGAAAGACTGTAAAGTATAGAATATCAAGACCCTTGTGTGATTTAGTTCAAATTGTCTCCAGAAGTCAAAAGTTACTAACATAGAAGTTAAGGAAAGAAAACATTGAAACTTGATCTCAATAAAAGAAAAATGCTGTGGGGTATGAAGATGGCTCCTGGTTAAGAATACAGGTTGTTCTTGCAGAGGATTCATGCACCATTCCCAGCCCCCTTGTGGTGGCCTGCAACCATTTGTATTTCCAAATAACAAATTCCAAGTAACAAAGGAATCAAAACTTCCTCTGATCTCTTTAGGCATCAGGCATATGTGTTTTCCATATATACATACAAGCAGGTTGAACACTCATACACAGAAAATTAAAGAAACTAACAAAAAATGCTAATTGTTAGAAAAAGGCTCAAGGAAATATCAAAAGTGAATCAGGATTTCCACATGCAAATCTTTGGAGGCATCTTATAAAAACAGCAACAGCAATGACAAAAGGCAAATAGGAAATCATTCAATAGCAACTTTATTAGTATGTTTGAGCTGATTTTAACATTGAAAGTAATATAATAAAAAAGGTACCAAGAGAGAGAAACATGTTTTAAGTATTGAAACTTTCATATTTTTATCATGGAAAATGTAGATTTGTTGAGACATATTCTACTTATATAATTTACAAATTTTAAGCATATTCCATACCAGCCATTTTCTTTTGTGCAGTTTTAGAGTGAGAAATGGAGGAACGATGATGGGAGTCAACAAACTTAAAATTCTAGGTCCACATTAGTAGGCCCAAGCTGGTGAAGTTCAGTAACCTTTGAGCTTCAGCATCCCTGTCTATGACTCAACAGCATTAAACTGGATGATGACCTAACTCTGGTCTAGCACCAAGGTAATTTCCTTGAGCTACTTTTATTTACTAAAAGAATCTCTTAAAGCATGTATTTGTTTTGGTATGTATATGTATGTGTGTTTGCTTGAATGTATGCACAAATATATGTGCTGATACATACAGAGATATGCACAAGTACATGTGAAGACTTAAGGTTAATTAATATCCTATCATCGTGGATAACTCTTCATAATTTATTGAAATAGTGTCCCTAACATGAACCTAGAGATCACCTACAAAACTAGTATGAGTAGCCTACATTCTGTTTCTGCCTTTCAAGGCTGAAACTACAAGTGAGCTTCAACCATTTCAATGGGTAGTATGTATTTAATCTGTGAACTTTCTACTTGTGCAGTAACTGTTTTAACCACAGAGCAATCTTCCCAAGATAATGAGTTATTTTTAAAGTTTTCTGAATTGGTACCCAATTTCTAATTTTAAAGGGAAAAAGAAACATTCACATATTGAATTAAAACATAAAAACTAGTTTTGTTTCTCTAGATATATATCCTCTATGTTAATACCTATTTGAATGGAATGTTTACATTTTTTTGAGGCACAGTCTTACTCTGCAGTTCTGGTGGATCTGGAATTCCCTATGTAGACTAGACTAGCCTTAAATGCACAAAATATCTTCCTGCCTCTGCCTCCCATGTGTTGGAACTAAAAATATGCACCACCAAGTCCAAGCATTTAATTATTTAAAACACATTATATTAGCATCAGTTTAATGATATGTAGTCATTAAATATTATTCTAATCATAATTACACTTTGGTGTGCATTAATTTAATGCCAAATTAATCATAGTAGATAGTGGTTACCCTCCATTTAGTTTGGTAAAATAACACTCCTTTTATCAACATGAAACTCCTAGACTAAAGAAAAATTGCAGTGGAAATTTGACCTTCAATTTGACCTTCAATTTTACCATGGGTATTTTAACTTTACACTCAGGTTATTTTTATATATGTTTTTTGTTGTTTCATTGTTGTCCCTGTGAAATTCTCCACATTCATTCTCATCCTCTCCTACATACTGCAAAAATGTCTCCTAAAACCTGGGAGAATTAATAGATTGTGTTCCTCATAACAGTTATCACAGCAACATAATTCCTTACTTGTTTATTTCTATGAGAAACAAGTCAAAAAGCTGCAGAAGAGCATCTCTAATGACAGTTAGTGGATTTATACAACAAATTTTGGAAATTATAGAGATTGTGTCTAGAAAAAAGTAACAATTGAAAAATACACAAGCATACACATGCGTACACAGATACACACACGCATACACAGACACAAACAAAAGCAATTTCTTATCTGTGCATATAGGAAGATAAATTTTATTAAGGAGGATTAGAGATAAAAGAAAGATATATAAACAAAAGGAACAAATTGAATCCAGTCAAGTTTCTAAGTATTTTCCTTGTGATTTGACAATATGGGTCTTCAGATAAATCCAGAAACTTTCTTACAGTATAACGATAATGCTACTTTTTCATTAAACTTTTCATAAAAGCTACTTTTCTTTCTAAGTTATTTGACCTCAGCAACAGGATTTGACAAAATGGTGAGATTAAGCTGTAATGTTAAGCTGTTGATATCTAGACAGCTTAGAATCCAATTCAAATAAAAATCAAAGCCCTCAGATGGGTAAGAAACTGTTTCTATCAAGTAAAATAAAGATTGCAGACTTACATAAGTGAATGTGGTTTTACTTAAAGAATTACTTACTTTTAACATATAACTGATAGAATACAGCATCTTGATTCAGTGCATAAACCAAAATGTACAAAACTGCAGCAAAATTCTGTTAAATGACAATGATATTTTTCTGGAGTGTTTATTGCAGAACCTATTTAAATATAAGAAAAACTATTGCACATCATCTTTCCATGTGGGTTGACTTGATTGCATTGGAAAAAAGCTGACACCAAGATTTTCCCTAGAAACTTGCTTGTACTACAATGTTATACCACTGTTAGCATCCGAGACATCCAGCTTCATGTCAATCATAAACTAGTCTTAGGCATTGTGAAATTCTTCTAATGGGGTTGGGGAAATGATTCAGAGGCTAAAGGTGATTGTGTTCTATCCTTGACACTCACAAGAATTGACTCCTGCCAGTTGTTTACTAACCTTTACACATGTACTATGGTACAAGTGACTTGCTCCCAAATAAACAAATATTTGTAAAAATAAAAAAAAATGCAAACACTATTTTACACACTTCAGAAAGAATAGAGCCTTTTGACCATGTTTTCTGATTAGCCTCTTCTAGAATTTACCTTTTTGGTTTAATGCCAGAATGGTTTTAAGCCTGAGATTAGTAAAAGAAAAAAATTTACTACTGGAGAAATTTAATTCCAACTTCAATATTATGCAGCACAAAATCAAAATATGTATTTTTTAACATGTGATGAAATACACCAGCTTGTGAATATAATTGCCAAATGGACAGTTAGGATAACTGACACGACCCTTTCCATATTAGTAATGGCTAAAAAACGGGGGTGACTGTGGCCCTTCTAAGTGGGATTGAAGTATTCTCACTTGGGCAATTCTTATTTAACTTCTGTAGGATTAAACATGGGAATGTTGTAGTTTTTGGCTAATATCTACTATCAGTGAGTACATACTATGCATGTCATTTTGGGTCTGGGTTTCCTCACTCAGGATGATATTTTCTATTTCCATCCATTTGCCTATATTTTCTTTTCTTTTCAGTTTTTTTTTTTTTGAGACAGGATTACTCTGTGTGCACTGGAACTCAGGTCATAGACCAGGCTGGTCTTGAACTTGGAGATCCACAGGCCTCTGCTTCCTGAGTATTCCAATCAAAGGCATTTGCTACTACTGCATGCCTGATTGGCTTTCTCTCTCTCTCTCTCTCTCTCTCTCTCTCTCTCTCTCTCTCTCCCTCCCTCCCTCCCTCCCTCCCTTCCTTCCTCTCTCCCTTCCTCTCTACCTTCCTTTCTTTGAGTGAGTTATTTATTTTGTTTATATCCTGATCACAACATCCTCTCCCTCTTCTCTTCTCAGTCTCTCCATCTCAATTCTTCTTCCTGCCCCATCAACCCCTCCTCCTTTGTCCTCAGAGAATGGGAGCCAACCCATAGATACCAATCAGACCTGCCATGTCAAGATGCAGTAAGACTAGGCTCATCTTCTATTGAGACTAGACAAGGCAGACCAGTCAGGGGAAAGGAATCTGAAGGCAGACAATGTAGTCATAGTTATCCCTTCACAAATTTCTTTGTCATCCTTGTTTAGTGGCCATGCTAATAATCTTCTCTGTGTCGTTTCCATTTTAGTATATGTGCTTCTAAAACAAGCACAAAAAGCACATTATCACCCTTAGCTAGCTTTTAAACTGAAGAAGTGTTGGGAGCCAACTCTTAGCCGAAAGCTGCTGTCATCTTCACAGCCATCTCAAACCATATACCCTGACAAGTGACTTGTTTTCAATAGCCCGCAAAAGCTGAGCACACTCTGATAAACATGTTTTGCTGTTTAGTGCCATCAACAGCTAGGTGCACATGGTCTCCATGCTGCTAGGTGCATGACATAGTGCTTTCAGCTGTGCTTGTCCACCAGGGCAAGGTAAGGAGTATAAATACCCAGGATTTCCTTTCGATAAAAGAGACTTGATCAGACTCTCTCTTGTCTCCATTTTTCATGTCTCTCACCCCTCCATCCTCATTCTCTCTCTTGCTTGACCCTGACCTGCACACCAGAGCAGCAGGATGGGCCATTACAAAGTGGCCCTCAATGCACAGCAGCAGGAATGAGAGACTCAGTGAGGGACGTTACTGGAAGAAGGGTCGACTGAAAATTCAGAAGTGAAACAGAGGTGATTGCTTCAGGAAAATGCCTTGTAAAGTCCAGTAGGTCATAGTAATGATAATGGGGCAAGAAATAAGTCAGCCTAAGCTCAACTCTCTGTTTTTGTTTTGTTGCTTGTTGTTTATGTGTGTCAATTGTCTACTTTTGTTTGGCTGTTTAAATGTCTTTCATGTCCAAAAGAAAAAGAAACCCATAGAATCCAAAATACAACCAAGGGTTGAAGTAATCAATTTTTCAGAGCCAGATTGTGCTGACCTAGAGGAAGAGGCAGCCAAATATTTTGACCTTGAATGGCCTTCTTCCCGAAGGCCTCCTCCCTGTGTTCCTCCACCTCCAGATGTTTCTACTATGGAAATGATGATTGTAGATTCCAGAAAGGAGTTACAGGACAAAATTTCTCTCCTTAGACAACAAATAGAGTTAGAAATATAGTATCAGGACTTAATTAATCAGCTACAAAAACAAAAGACAGGGAAGAGGTCCTGAGAGGGCAAGGAAAATCACCCAGGTCCTCGAGTTCCTCAACCTGGAGTCCAAAGGCAGACCCTGTCCTCTAGTTTTAGTTCAGCCACAGATCAGCCAGATGAGGGAGAGGTTGAGGTTGTCCCTGTATCAGAGACTAGAGACACTCAAGGGGTTGCATGGAGACATCACACAGGGTTTAATTTTCAAATTGTTAAAGAATTAAAAAATTCAGTGTCACAGTATGGTGTCACTGCTCCCTTTATTCTTGTAGTCTTAGAATCTGTTGCAGAGGAGTGGCTGACTCCTGGTGACTGGGATACTCTAGTGAGAGCAGTTCTTAGCAGTGGTGACCATCTTATTTGGAAATCAGAATATCAGGATAATTGTAAAGAGATAGCTAGGAGAAACATTCAGGCAGATAATGGTTGGTCCTTTGATGCCTTAGTAGGAGAAGGGCAATTTGCTTCTAGTGATAACCAGATGCTATATGACCCAGGCTTATTCACTCAAATTCAAAATGTGGCCATGAAGGCTTGGTGCAAACTCTCGGTAAACTCTCTGGTGCATCTTTGACCTCAGTCAGACAAGGGCCTGATGAATGATTTTCTGATTTTGTTCATCGATTAATGAAAACAGCAAGGAGGATTTTTGGTAATGCAGAGGCAGGTGTAGATTATGTGAAACAACTTGCATATGAAAATGCCAATCCTGCCTGCCAAGTGGCCATTAGACCCTATAGAAAAAAGACAGACCTTACTGGGTATATCAGACTCTGTTCTGACATAGGGTCCTCTTACCAACAGGGCTTAGCTATGGCAGCCACCATGCAAGGACAATCAGTAAGAGATTTTTTGGCAAGTGGAGACAAAAAGGCCTGTTTTAAATGTGGCAAGCCTGGACACTTTGCAAAATATTGCAAAGCAGAAAATGAGTTAACCCAGAGACAGCCCAGAAAACAGCCTGGGCTATGCCCACATTGCAAATGTGGAAGGCATTGGGCTAGTGAATGTAGGTCCAAGGCAGACGCACAAGGAAACACCCTTTCCCATAATCAGGGAAACGGGAACAGGGGCTAGCCCCAGGCCCCAAACCAATACAAGCCAAAACAGGCTTATGGGGCAGTCAGTTTTATACCAGCAAACAACAACCCCTTTCAGAACTTAGTTGAGCAACACCAGGAAGCACAGGACTAGACCTTAGTTCTGCCACCCACACAGTATTAACCCCAGAAATGGGACCTCAAGCCTTACCCACTGGAGTGTTTGGACCACTCTATCCAAATGTATTTGGCCTGATAATGGGAAGAAGCAGTGCTACTATGCAGGGACTACAAATTTTCCCTGGAGTTACAGACAATGATTATCAAGGTGAGATTATGGTAATGGCCAAGGCAATACAGAATATAGTCACCATTCCTATAGGAAGGAGGATAGCTCAACTATTATTACTTCCATTGATTCCTACTAATCACAAATATAAGAGTCCTAAGAGAGGGGATCAAGGCTTTGGTTCCTCTGATGCATACTGGGTACAGCCTATCATTAAACAAAAACCTATGATGACAATATTGCTCGACGGGAGGCATTTTGTGGCTTGGTTGATACAGGAGCTGATGTGACAATCATCAAACAATCAGATTGGCCTCTGACCGCAATCTTAACCAATTTAAGGGGTATTGGCCAAAATCCACAGCAAAGCTCTAAGGTGCTGACATGGAAAGATAAAGAAGGAAGTACAGGGAATATACAACTCTATGTCATCCTGGGCCTTCCCATTAATCTCTGGTGCAGAAATCTATTATCCCAGTTGAGATGGATTATGTGCAGCCCTAATGAAGTATTCACCGCTCAAACGATAAACTCTGGATTTTCCCCAGGGAAAGGATTAGGAAAAAGTGAAGATGGGATTACTCATCCTATTGAGATCCATGGTAATTCTGGATGAAGAGGCTTGGGGTATTTTTGATGGGGGCTATCGCTTCAGCTGTACCCCTAGGGCATTGTGCCTATCCCATCACCTGGAAGGGGGACTCGCCCATCTGGGTGGATCAGTAGTCCCTAACCACCAAAAAATTACAAGCTGCTTAACTGCTAGTGCAGGAGCAATTACAGGCAGGACATTTAGAAGAGAGTAACTCTCCCTGCAATACCCCTATATTTGCCATTAGGAAAAGGTCAGGAAGGTGGAGATTGTTGCAAGACTTGAGGCCTGATAATGCAACCATGGTTCTGATGGGAGCCTTACAACCTGGGCTGCCCAGACCAGTGGCCATACCTTTAGGCTATTATAAAATAGTTATAGATTTAAAAGACTGTTTCTTTACTATCCCCTTGCATCCTAATGAAAGAAAGTGCTTTGCTTTTAGTGTTCCTATTATAAACTTTAGAGAACCTATGAAAAGATATCAATGGAAGGTCTTGCCTCAGAGTATGGCTAACAGTCCTACCTTGTGCCAAAAGTTTGTGGCTTCCGCCATAGAGGGTGTTAGAACCATGTGGAAGCAAATATACATGGTTCATTTCATGGATGATATTTTAATAGCAGGAAAAGATGGAAAATGGGTACTCAATGCTTTGATGATATTAAAACAGCATTACAGACTGCAGGGTTACAAATTGCACCTGAAAAGGTACAATTACAAGATCCATATACTTATTTAGGATTTCAGATTAATGGTTCACGTATTATTAACAGTAAGGCCACCTTGAGGACTGATTCCCTTAAGACACTTAATGATTTTCAAAAACTATTGGGAGACATTAATTGGCTATGACCATATTTGAAACTTACAACAGGAGAGTTGAAACCTTTGTTTGACATTCTCAAAGGAGATCCTGACACTAAGTCTTGCAGGCCTCTAACAGAGGAGGGTAGAAAAGCCTTACAGAAGGTTGAGAGTGCTATTTACAGAAGATTGAGAGTGCTATTTCATCCCAATTTGTAACTCATATTAATTATTCTAAGCCTTTATTTTTCTTATTTTTAACACTAAATTAACTCTTACTGCACCCATATTATGGGTTCATCTTCCCTCATTCCCTAAAAAGGTTCTTTATCCATACTATACAGCTGTAGCAGGCATGATTATGTTAGGCAGAGATAACAGTCAAAAATATTTTGTAAAAGACCCTGACGTCATAGTACAACCTTATACAAGACATCAGATTAATTGGATTATGCAGAGTTCTGAAGTTTGGCCAATAGCATGTGCCTCATTTGGTGGTCAACTAGATAACCATTATCCACCAGACAAATTAGTTCAATTTTGTAATCGCCATGAATTTGTTTTTCCATCTCTTACTGTGCATGCACCTATAAAGAAAGCATTCTTAGTTTTCACTTATGGTTCCTCATCAGGAATAGCTGCTTATGCCTCTAAGGATCAAGTAATTTCATTTGCTACATCATCTATGTCAGCTCAATTGTTTGAATTACATGTTGTTATTGCTGTGTTTCAAGCATTTCCAAATCAAACCATTAATATTTACACAGATAGCTCATATATAGCTCAATCTATATAGCTCAATCTATCCCTCTGCTAGAAACTGCTGCACAAATAAAGCATTCCTCAGAAGTAGCCGATTTGTTTTTACAGAGCCAATGATTAATTTTTAGGTGAAAGTGTAAATTCTTTATAGGACACCTGAGAGCCCACACTGGGCTACCAGGTCCTCTCGCTGAAGGAAACACCAAGGAAGATCTAGCCACTCGTGTAGCTGCAGTGACTTTTTCAGATCCACCATCTAACTTGGATCAGGCCATAAAGGCTCATGAGTTACATCACCTTAATTCTCAAACTTTAAAAGTCATGTTTAAAATTACCAGAGAACAAGCTAGACAAATTGTCAAACAATGTCAATCATCTGTTACATGGTTACCAGTTCCTCATTTGTCCCGTGCAATAATCTCGCCAGCAAGAATGCACGCAGACACTAGGGTCCTTCTGCAGCAAAACTTTTATTGCGATGTGTAGAGGAAGACCTTAGACCCCGAAAAGGCACCGCTTAAATACACCCTGGAGTGGCGT